TAAGGCACAAATTAATCATTTTGGTAGGCTGATAATTTCTTTGTATTTGTTTGCAAAGTTGCCCTACCCCATTTCATAATTTCTACCTTCCTTACCGAAGCAATATCAGCATACGCTTTTTTTCTTCACAGTCTTCTGGGGTGCTGCAGTTTAGTGAGTTTACAGGTCAAATATTGCTCTCCTCAAGAAATGTAGCTTTCAATAATATGAATAATAATAATCGGCAACACTTGGTTAGTGCTTCACGATGGCCTGACACTATTCTAAGTATTTTACATGTATTAACCAATTGAGTCTTCGTAAGAATCCTAGAAGGAAAATACTACAATCCTCACTTTGAACAGGAGGACACTGAAGCTAAATTGACTAAGGCCAGTAGGTGGCAGAGCTGGGATTTGAACTCAGGCTAGTGTCAGAATTTATGTGCTTTTTGTAACAACCTATCCCCCATCCTTTAGAAGTTGCTTGTTTCTGCTGCTTTATATTTGTACCACATCATGGACCAGGCAGAATTTGAAGTTTAAAAACTTAGCTTTCAATCCCAAATTTCCTTTCTAACCCTTTACATCTGAGCCTCAGATTTTTTTGTAAAACAGGAATAATATTTGTCATGCCTACCTTATAGATTATTGAGTAGAACAAGTGAAATAATGTATGTGAAAGTGCTTTGTAAAGTGTTATGTAAAGAAGTATTACTTAAGCTTTGAATTGACATGTCAGTTAGGATATAGCTTCAGCTGTGTATGATGAAAACATTGCTTAACGCAAATTAGGTCACAGCTAGACATAGTTCAAGCTATGATTAGAACCCAAGGTTCTTGGTATATAAACCCCATACTTCCAACAACACCACAGCACTCTTTCCTCTGATACTCTTTCACTACAATACTTGTTAGTACACCATCGTCTTCCCATGCAGTTCCATTAAAAATGAGAATGTAAGGCCGGGCGCGGTGGCTCAAGCCTGTAATCCCAGCACTTTGGGAGGCCGAGGCGGGTGGATCACGAGGTCAAGAGATCGAGACCATCCTGGTCAACATGGTGAAACCCCGTCTCTACTAAAAATACAAAAAATTAGCTGGGCATGGTGGTGTGTGCCTGTAATCCCAGCTACTCAGGAGGCTGAGGCAGGAGAATTGCCTGAACCCAGGAGGCGGAGGTTGCGGTGAGCCGAGATCGCGCCATTGCACTCCAGCCTGGGTAACAAGAGCGAAACTCCGTCTCAAAAAAAAAAAAAAAAAGATTTTCCCACAAAGTGTTTCTCTGGTAGGCCTAAATCAGAAATTCCTACTTTCAACTTATAAACAAAGCTGTCAGAGGGCAATAGACAAAGATAGGTCAAGCGACAAAATCTGTAACTTGGGTATCTAAGCAACTGGAAACGCTTGGCTGAGGAAGATTTTTTTCCTCCCGGGGCAAGCTGGGACATTCCAGCCGTGTACCTTTGAGCCTCTGATGTGAAAAGCAGCTCAGATTCAGATTCCCACCCGAAAGGGGCATGTTTATCAGTATGGGAACTTTCTGAGGGTACTCAGGGAAGAGTGGTATCAAATCTCTTCATCTCCTACTCTCACTACTTCAGGCAATGTCTCTGCATCTTATACTCATTACTTCCAGCAAAAGAGAAGGTAAACAATAATTCAAAATAAAAACCATATAAATAATAATGTTAGCACCCTCTCTTATCTCTCTAGTAACTTCCTCATTAGGAGTCAGAAGGTGGAATTTTCTTTTCTGAGATAGGGTCTCACACTGTCACCCAGGCTAGAGTGCAGTGGAGCAAACAGGGGTAATAGCAGCCTCAACCTCCCAGGCCCAAGCAATCCTCCCTTCTCAGCCTCCCAAGTAGCTAGGACTACAGGCACACACCACCATGCCCAGTTCATTTTTACATTTTTGTGTAGAGATGGAGTCTCCCTATGTTGCCCAGGCTGGTCTTGAACTTCTGGGCTCAAGAGATGCATGCCTTGGCCTCTCAAAGTACTGGGATTACAGATGTGAGCCACCACACCCATCTGGAAAATCTTAAAATCAGCCCAAGAAGTACTGGCTGGGTTGTACTATGGGATTAGGCCCATGCATGTGCTCAGGGTTTCCATGAAGCCCTTCAGCAGGTTAAATTCAAGTAAAATTAACAGGTAAAGCCTTAGAAGCCATGACACACCAGATTTTGTGTCACCAAATACAAATGCAATAAATTTAGAGAACTTATGTTCTATAAGTTCCCTGAATGAAAATGAAAGATAAAAATAAAAAGGAAAGAAAAAGAAAAAGAAAAAATAAGAAAAAAGACATTGGAAAAGTCTGAGAACAGAGTTCAATAAGCCAGTTGCAGTTAAGTGTATTGTACTATACGGCTAGGCTGATACACCCAGGCTATATGAACTTCAAGATCAGGCTATTAGAAGTTCAAGACTAGGCCGGGCATGGTGGCTCATGCCTGTAATCCAAGCACTTTGGAGGCCAAGGCGGGGGGATCACCTGAGGTCAGGAGTTCAAGACCAGCCTGACCAACACGGTGAAACCCCATTTATAAAAAAAATAAAAATAAAAAAATTAAAAAAAAAAGAAGTTCAAGACCAGCTTGGGCAATATAGGGAGACCCCCATCTCCACACAAAAATTTAAAAATTAGCTGGGCATGGTGGTATGTGCGTGTATTCCTAGCTACCTGGGAGGCTGAGGCAGGAGGGTTGCTTGGGCCTGGGAGGTCCAGGCTGCTGCTACCCCTGTTTGCTCCACTGCACTCTATGCCATCTAGATTTACGAATACCCTGTGATGTTGCACAATGGCACATTTCTAAGAATATATCCCCACTGTTAAACAGCACATGACTGTATATATTTCCCTTGTTATGCTGTATCTTTGCAATCCCATCATTTCTTCATTTACTTCTTCAGCAAACATTGTTATCTATAGAAGGGTGGAGGTTTGGCACCTTGGAAAGAGCTAGAACTGAAAGATGAATAAGCTGGTTCCTGCTGTCTGGGCTCAGTCTATTCACTCAACTAGTGATAATAACTATAATGAAGAAGATTGAAAGAAATTGCTGTCTTAGCTAAAATACAAGAAGGAGCAGAGGTTAAGGAAAGTGAGGTAAGTAGTACCTCACATTCTATTTTGGCCATCTTTGGATTGGTCCCACTTTTCCTGGGTTGGGGAATAGTTTCTTCTGTCATGCACTGTTGACCTCTGTTGTTTCCCCCTGCCACTCCTCTCCCTCTCTTCTCCTACTGCAGCAAAGGGAAAAAGTCAAATGTATCATGAGGGGATTGGGGAGAGGGGAAAGGGGAAGTTGCTCAGGCACCTTGTGTGCTAGGTCTCATTTTCTTGGGCTATGGGGAAAACCAAAGGCTGGATTCTGATCATCTAAGAGCTAAAAGGGACCACAGAGGCCATCCTTCTTACTATCCATTTACAGCTGAAGACACTGAGGTTTAATGACTTACCAAGGCCATGCAATTAGTGGCATTGGCAGCACTAGAACTCAGGTTTCTTGATTTCCAGGAGAGTTAGAATGGAACACTTTGAATCCTTTTTGCAGGGTAGGGTGGCAGCTGGAGATGGAAATCCTACTACTGGCTTCACTAGCTTCTTCAGCCATTATTTTGATTATCTTCTTCCTTATCAAGCAGTCCTTCATTTCTAATCCTCCAAACAATTGGACAATTTATTAATGTAGTCACCCCATAGTCTCGTCCTCTGTTCATTAGGGACTTATTTTCATATCTTCTATCATTTCTGCTATCCTCCCCATAAGGAACAAATTATTGTTTCTCAACATCCTTTTGAAAATATGGCAACCCAAACTAACCGCACAGCTTCAGAGATCTGTTTGGTGAGGTAAATTGATGTCTTTGTGTTCTGCTTTTCAATGCCTACTACTTGGACTTTTGGTTTTGCTCATTTGTTAGTAAATTTACTTACCTTACTTACTTTCACCGTGTCAGTAATGACCTTGGGGAATTTATATAGTTGATCCATTTCTATGAGGGTGCTCTCCTGAACCTTGTCCTATGTGTGTGAAGGCCCGCCTTTTTTCTTTTTTTTCTCTCCTCCCCTCCCCTCCCCTCCTCTCCTTTCCTTTCCTTCCTTTCTTTCATTTGTTGCCTTGTCAGTAATGATCTATTTCTATAAGGGTGCGCTCCTGAACACTGTCCTGTCTGTGTGAAGGCCTGCCTTTTTTCTTTTCTCCTTCCCTCCCTCCCGTCGTCCCTCTCTCCGTCCTTCTCTCTTTCTTTCTCTCTTAGCTTGTCAGTAATGACCAGGTGAGGATACATGTCAAGAAAACTAATCACCTTCTAACAGGATTAGGACTAGAATTAATGCGGATCTTGTGCCCTTCCTGTTCAGGCTTTGGCAGCCCAAGGTCCACCACTGCTCAGAGACTAGCTGGATAGCAACTGCACCCCACAGCATCCCACACTGTCCTGGGATCCTAGGGGGTGACCTTGTGAGATTCAGTACCCAGTTTCTGGGAGACGGCGCTGCGGTTGTGATTGGAACTGTTGGCCGACCCATCCCTGGACGCCCAGTGAGGCAAACGCATCTCCTGTTTTCAAGTTGATGACACCGGGCTGGAATGTCCCGGGGCCAACCAGTCCGTCCTGCCAGACAAGTTTCTGGTCCTGTGAGCTGCCACCTGCCGCGTGCGTCAAGCTGATCTGGTCGGGGAGGCGTCTGAAGGAGCAGTGCTGAGCGCTGTCAACATTTAGCGGGCGTCTTCGAGCAGCTCCTCCAGCCCTCGCAGGGGCCGTGGGACTTGCGGACAAGAGTTCCCAGCTCACTTCCAGCCTGCGCCGGCCCCGCCTCCGCCTCCCAGCTCCTCCCGCCTCCTCCCGCCCCGCCGCTCCCACCTTTTCTCAGGCCCCCACCTGCCCGCACGCAGAGGCGGGGGCGGGGCCGCGGGCCGGGACCGTGACGTCACCGAGGGGGCGGGGCTGTGGGAGCCGCAGTGCAGCGCAGAGGGGCGGGGCCTGCGGCGGGAGAGCCGGATCGCCGGGTCCGGGCCGGGAGAGGTGTGCCGCGCCGGGAGCCGCCGACTCTGAGTCCGGCTCTGGGAGGCGGGGCGGGGCGGGAGGAGCCTGCCCGGGGCTGGAGCCCCGCGCGGCGCTAAAGCGGGTCGAGCGTCCTCCTTTTCTCCCCGCCTCTTCTCCTCCTCCCACCTGGGCCTCTGCGTGGAGACGCGCACCTGGCAACCGGAGGCCGCGTCCCCGCCTTCTCCGCTGGCGCCGGGCGCCGGGAGCCTGCCCGGGACCTCGAGACGGCCCCCGGGGCCCGCCCCTCCGCTGGAGCCGCGCTCGCTGCAGGCAGCCTCGAGCGCTCTCTCGTTGATGCCGTTTTGGAGGTGACCGGCGCGGCGGCCGCTCTATGCTGGGGCAGCGTTAGTGGCAGCGGCTCCGTGGGACTCCAGGGCGCGGCTGCGAGGTGGCGGGGCGCCCCGCCTGCAGTACCCCGCGCGCAGCTCAGGTTTCGGGGCGCTTGAGGAGGCCGCCACGGCGGCGCGGGAGCGGAAGATGTTGGAGCTGAGGCACCGGGGAGGCTGCCCCGGCCCAGGGGAAGCGGTGGCTCCCCCACCCCGCGAGGGAGAGGCAGCCGGCGGCGACCACGAAACCGAGAGCACCAGCGACAAAGTAAGTGGAGCCGCGAGAGGGGGACGCAGCGCCCTGACTGGGTCCTTGGAAGCGGGACACCTGAGAGCAAGGGTGGGGCCGGTGGAGCGTCAGGTGAGGCTGCAGGCTGCCCGCGCACCTTCCTCGCTGCCTGGCAAGACTTCCTGCTTCCCCAGAGGGGGTCTGGATCCCCGATCCCAGTGGCGGTGCGGTTCCCAGGGTGACCGCGGCCGCGGCCTGGGATACTTGGGTCGCTCAGCCAGGCTGCAGTTTAGCTTCATCCCTTTCCGGTCCCCTCTTGAGGATCTGGGGCCGACGCTGGAATCAGGATGCAGACCTGCCCTCCTAGGGGCTGCAAATTTGTAGCTGCCACCTCACTCCTCTTCTCGGTAGAGGGAACAAAGTAAGGACTGGAGACGTGCACCTTGGGCTCTAGCATTTCATTGGATCCTGACGCAAGAGGCTTGGCTTCTCGCGCTACCCCACCTGCACTTTTATTTCCTCCATCCTTTTTCAGTATGATAGATTTTGGAGGTTTGAAAATATCATGCACGTGACATAGTAGTAACCTTCCAGCTTCTTTTGAGTACACCTCAGACAGTGCAATTCTTCTGTCTACCAGTAGATTTCATTTAACTCGACACGTTAATTCATGAAGACTTTTCACTCCCTTTTCTATAGATTACTCTTCTTTCACATTTAAGAGTAAGTAGATGTAATATTACTATTTAAAACTAGAAAAGAAATTCGGCTGTGTTTGGTAATACAGTGGTACAAGGAAGAACTTGTGAAGAAATGCAGTTTTATGACCTTATAGACTGGGTGGTTTGGGAAATTGGGCCAGCGAATAGATTGATTTACAAAACCGTTTGTTTAGAAAATTCCATTTTATTTGGGAAGCCTGAAACACGTAAACTTCTTCTAGAAGCACACCTTGGAAGCAGACATTGCAGTTTGAATTACAGAAGTGAGGTGGATTGCCCAAGGTCAAGTTCGTGCCTCTTGAAACTAGAACTTAAGTTTCCTGATTCCTTTTCTTCTGGTTTATGTGATTACTGAGAATTTCTGGCAGTTCTGATTTGGGGAGGATTCCACGTGAAAGTTGATGTTAATGAATTTCATGTACCCCAAATTACAAAGCCCTAATAGGAACATATCACATGATATCACGAAATAAACATGATTCTCAGGACTAAAACTTTAGAATCAATGGGGTAACGCTTTTTTCCTCTTACCCTTGATGGTAATTAGTGGAATAAAATGCATCTGTAATAGAACATATGTGTCAAGGAATTACCTAAAATGTAACAATTTCCAGCTACTGAAGGTTGAAGTTACAAAACTAGAAACAGTGGGCTGAGAATAGTCTTTGTGAAAACTGCCTTGGAAACTAGACCCAAAATAGAATTAATTAGGTTGAGATTTGTTTTGTTTTGTTTTTAGCACTGGTATAGTTTAGCAGCAAGGAAATGCCAGCTTCTCCATGTTGACTTCCTTAACTCGATAAAGCTAACAAGCTTTTAGTAAGAGAAAAAATGTTCAGGAAGCCATGCATAAAGTATCTTTGGAATTAAGTTTTTTTGTTGTTGTTGTTAACACCATAATGTATTTAAAATGGAAACTACTCTGTGGTGTGATTTGACTCATTAAAACTGTTGTCTCTAGCTATCTGTGACTGAGTTACCTCGCTGCATATTTATTTATCAGTGCCGTACTGTTGGCTTTCCTTAATACATGTCCAGCTGGATTTTGTTTTCTGAAAGTAGACATTGTTATATGTAACCTGTTTTGTCACGATTTCTTAGACAAGGATGAACATATTCAAACCATATCTAAAATACTTTTAGAGTTTATCACAAGGAACTTTCGACTTAGCAACCTTATTGATGTTGAACTCTATCCCTGTCTGTCCTTTCTTATCAGGGTGTGTCTTTGAATACACCTACATTTCCAGGTCAAGGGCTATTTTAAAATCAGTTTGCACATTGGAGGCTGGTTAATATTTGGTCAGTTCAAACTCTAAGGGGCTTCTTGTTCTGTTGCAGTAAAAGCAAAACCCTTGGGGAATTAGTGAAAGAAGTGAAGGAGGTATATTGTATTCTGCTATTATAATACACTCCCATGCATTGCCATTTTGTAGTGTTTTGATAATAGTGTTATTATCATATCCGGACTAGTGACTTATGCTGAGAGAAGGCTCAGTGATCCAGAGAATTAACATGTGAAAAAAGTACTTATTAACTGCAGGAGAATGTTCCCAAGTGTTAAATGTTGGAGTGGTACTTGAAAAATGACAAGGGACCCCCTCAAGGAGTCCTGGAGGAGACATATATGAGTTAGAGTTATTAGAAGTCTGTACAAGGCTCATTGTTAGTATAGAGGCATGCTTGGCCTCTACCTGGAGACTACAGGAAAAGCTCTAACCAGTGGGCGGGGGTTGAGCTGGGAAGGAAAAATTCTTGGGACTCACCAGTTTTGCAAAGGTTTGGGTAGGGTGTTCTAGGCAAAGGACGTATGGGGTTTTTTCTTGAGTCAGCATTCTAGGCACAGGGTTGGAGATACAGAGGAAGAGATAATGAAGGTCCTGAGAGCAAAAGGAGGAGGCATTGCTTAGAGCAGTGGTCCCCAACCTTTTTGGCACCAGAGATCAGTTTTGTGGAAGACAGTTTTTCCACGGATGGAGTCAGGAGAATGGTTTCAGGACGATTTAAGTACATTATATTTATTGCACTTTATTTCTATTATTATTACATCGTAATGTATAATGAAATAATTATACAACTCCCCATAATGTAGAATCAGTGGGAGCCCTGAGCTTATTATCCTGCAACTAGAGAGTCCCATGCGGGGGTGATGGGAGACAGTGACAGATCATCAGGCATTAGTTTCTCATAAGGATCCTGCAGCCTAGATCCCTTGAGTGAACACCAGGGTTCATGCTCCTATGATGATCTAATGCTGCTGTTGATCTGACTGGAGGTGAAGTTCAGGCGGTAATGCAAGTAATGGGGAGCCCCTGTAAATGCAGAGGAAGCTTCAGTCGCTGGCCACTCACTTCCTGTTCTGTGGCCGGGTTCCCAACAAGCCCAGTTCCTAATAGGTCGGTACTGGTCTATGGCCTGGGAGTTGGGAACCCCTGGCTTAGAGGATATCATCAGTGGTGCTTAGGAATAAGGGCTGAAAAAGAAAATGGAATTTAGCAAAAGATCTAAGTAGAAGCAGGTTTAGGTTGAGGAAGCTGAGAGGTAAAATGTTGGTAGTTATTGTTATAAAGTGGCAGGGAAAGGAATACAGGATGGCAGCTAGAGAGGACAGGAGGATTAACAAAGATTTTTCTTTTTAGGGGAGGGGAAATATATATTTCTGTAAAAGCCAAGTGAGTAAAGACGTTGAAGACAATAGGCCGGCCCTAGGAAAAAGAAAGCAAACATGGGGTAGAGGATTATTGGGATATCCAAGGAAAAAAAAAAAGAGGGATATATGTTCCTTCCTTAAGAAAGAAGGAATGAAAGGAGGATACAGGAACATTTTGAAAAGCAGAAAGGAGAAGACCAAGTGTTCAGTGCCTTCAGTTTTCTTAGTAAAGTAGGAACTCAGAAACAATAAGCTTCAACGGATCTTAGAAACAACTTTGTTTAACCCAATTCATATATATTTATATTCGTATATATTTGTAAATAATTTGGTACACAATAAATTTGTGTTCAGTTGAATCTTCCTGTATAGTTCTATAATAGTTACCTTTTGGTCATTTCGTATTACACTCCCCAAAAATGACAGTTCAAATGTGTTCCAGTCATATTTGGTGTTATGTGACTCTATGTGTTAGGAATATCCCCATTTAATATTAAATAGGAATATCCCCATTTAATAGGCAAGATAGAGAAGAAGAAAAGCAGTGGGAATGATTTAGGCCTAGGGAATGCCAGAGGTCTAGGACGTAGAGAATTAGAGAATCAGCAAAGCCAGGATTGAAGTGGATGGCCACAGATTCGGGTCAGCAGGGAAGTGGGCTGGTGAGGATCTGATGGGTTGACTGGGAATGAGCATTGTAAGGGAAAGAGCTAAGACCTGACTTATATAGAGACCAAGGGAAAACTTTCCCTCTGTGCTCTGAAGACTTGCCAGAAAAAAACTTAGAAGAGATTAACAGGAGATTAATGGCAGATTGATAGGAGAAATGGAATACAAATTTATTAACTTGTGGGGTGGGAGGTGGGAGACAGAGTGATTACCTGAACCCCAGAAGGGTGTACAGAAGCTTATATACCATCTTGAGGCAAAGATGGTCCTGTCATGTAATTGAAACCTCATAGGGAGCAGCCCTCTGAGAGAATAGATGGTGAATGTTTCTTTCAGAGCTTTAAAGGTGTCAGACTCTCAGTTACTCTTTCTTAGATCCAGGTAAGAGAGGATTTCAGAGAAGGCCTGGTTGTATCAATGCATATTTTCTCTACAGATGCAAATCTCTCTCACAAAAGACAGCTTTGCAGGGCTGTTTGTTTGCAGGCCCTCTGAATAGCCATCTTAAAATAAGTCAAAGAAAAAAAAAAAGGAAAAAAACCAGAAAAACAAAAAACAAAACAAAACAAAGTCAAAGAAGTATAATTTGGGGTGAAATATTCTGATTTCTTTTACTTGCTACACCCTGAAGTGGGAGAAAAGAGGGTAAAGAGGGTGCATATTGAAGCTGCGACCCTTCAAGGGGAACACACGCGGAATAGTGTGCTTTCAGGTAAGGTCTGTGTGTGCTTGGGCATGGGGCTGCTACTTAGAGAGTTTGGTTTGTGAATTTGAGGGGAAAACAATTCAGAGATCAGTTAACTTCCGTCCTCCATTTGAGATGTATGCAGCTTCTTTTATAAATACATTATTATTTTTAAATAAACTTTTAATTTTGGAATAACTTTGATTTATGTAACCACCCCACAGGTTTTTCTTGCTGCCCAGATAGAACTGAGAATTGCAATAAAGAAAGAGTTTAATGCACACAGATCCAGCTAAACAGGAGGCCGTAATTT